CAGCCAGGCAACATTTCCCAAATTCTGTTACAGGTAGATATCTTATGTTGTAGCTAACAGAATGTGAGCGGGCGCTCTATGTACCACTGCTGGGCCTGGACCCAAAAACTCACGTGTGACCTTTCCTGTTCTTTCTCCTTCCAAGGTTTGACACAGATTACCATGGCGAGCCAAGTGCTGAACAATATGTTGAAGATGGTGGAACCACAAGATGGAGGAAACCTGGACCCACCAATCAGGAACGCCCATTCTGGACCTCATGTGAGCCAAAAAAAAAAAAAACTATATTGGATTTGAGCTTGACCATTTTTAGGGTGGATTTTTTTGGGGCGGATGTTTTACATCCTTAAATAATACTGTAACCACTCTTAAGGAAAGGTCTTAAAACGTAAACACGATGTCATTTTAGTCTTTTTTTGTCAAAACAAAAGATTTTAAATGATCACTTGCTTAAGATGAATAAAAGTATATGATTCGCGAATGCTTGGCTGTATAAAAAGTAGGGTAGCTGATTCCATCTGACCTATATTCTTACCCACTGAGAGTGTACAGACACTCAAGCTAACACCACCTGGAAACAGTCAGAAGAAAGGTAGTATCCATGTACTTGATTCAATACATTTTGTTCACACTACACAACAACTTGTAACAATACATACTCTACAAACTGAACAATCTCCCTGGCTCCTTTTCCTTTTTTCAATCCTCCTCAGATTTGCTTCATCCAAAGAGTCTTCACAAGTGAATCTAGTCCAGGGGTTAGCAGACTATTTCCATAAAAGTTTAGACAGGAATATTTTAGGCTGTGTGGGCCATTCAATCTGTTGCATCTATTTAGCTCTGCTGTCATAGTAAGAAAGCAGCCATACACAACACAGAAGTGAATGAGTGTGGCCATGTCCCAATAAAACAACTCACAAAAGCAGGCAATGGGATGGATGTGGCCCTCAGGACATAGTTTTGCTGACCTCTGATCTAGTTCATTCTCTAATGCATCAACAATAGCTTTCATCTATACTGTGTCATCACCACTTTTAAAAATATATATATTTATTTTTACTTCCCTTTTACTTCTTGACTCCTTCAGAGAGGTTAACTCAGTGCAAAGAGTATATTCTCAATTCTCTGGGTACAGTCAGTCAGTATTCGTCTTCATAAATGCACCCACTCACAACATCAAGTGCCACTGGGCTCCTAAATTAACCTAATGACAAACTAAGAAATACCACCAAAAATTGGCTTCTGGTTTTCACGAATCTTCTCCGTCAATTATCATATGATAAATACAGCATACGCTATAAATTAAGAGATCTTGATGCTAGCATTACTATAACTCTGTAAACAATACAAAGCCTAATGAATTGTGACTTCAGAGCCATTTTAAGAATAGCTGACACTGGGTGCCCATTTAGTAAACTTGTGTCGACAAGCTCAAGTATGATACAGCAGTCAAAGGTCATAAAATCAAAAGTATATTCTGCTAGCAA